CTTTTGCTTTTTTTAAACCTGCTGCCGATTCAGTTCATTGGGTGACACCTAGTGCTTATATTGTCCCCCCGCCACTGACGCATCACACAAAGGCCCCCGCCCGCAAACCTCTCCTGCCCCAGCCTGGCCCCCACCCAGGGACCCTTTGGCCGGTGTAGGTCCGTGACCCAGCCTGCCCCTCCCTCAGCGTGGAGAGGGCTCCCCGGCCCTTCTGACCCTTGCTGGGACTCAGCCCAAGCACTGGTTTCGGGCAGATCTCAGACCGATGGATTGGCTACCGACAGATCAGCCATACGTAATTGTAACCAAGGCAACGGGCGTATTGTTGAGTGACAATCCCTGATTTCCACCAGCCACTGCGCTGTTCTCTGCCCTGGGGCTGGAGCGCCCAGCCTGTCCCATCCCCACAGCCCCCCAGCCCTGCCTGGCATGTGCGTGGCAGGGGGTCCCACCGCTCCCAGCCCCTATCTGTGCAAAGCTACCAGCAGTCTCGGATGGATGCTAGAAGCGAGGGCCTGATTCTTTGTGAGTTCTCTGCCCGGGGGCTGGAGCGCCCAGCCTGTCCCATCCCCACAGCCCCCCAGCCCTGCCTGGCATGTGCGTGGCAGGGGGTCCCACCGCTCCCAGCCCCTATCTGTGCAAAGCTACCAGCAGTCTCGGATGGATGCTAGAAGCGAGGGCCTGATTCTTTGTGAGAAAACCTGAAGGGCTGTGGCACCAAGAGCCTGTTTGGCCCCCGAGAGCTGCCTTGTCCCCACGGCCTGTGGGGTGGCCCAGGCGCTGGGGTTGGCTGCTGGCCCTCGCTCACACGCCCCGGGCAGGGGGCGAATTCCCCCCCAGAGCAGACTGGCTAGCACCTTGGGCCTTTTGTGCCACTTTGCAGCATCCGGTCACTTGCGGGGACACCGGGCACATGCCACGTAACCACGTCCCCCCGTGGCAGGGCTCTGGGTACTGGGGAGCCTGGTCCAGGCGGCAGGGCAGGTCGGACTCCAGGGCTGTTCGACTTTGGTCTGGGGGGGAGGGACCAGCTGATCCAGAGACCCACTTAAACACGACCCCTCTATTCCCTGCGATGGGTCCAGCTCCTCCGACCCGCTACCCCGACCCACTGGCAGCATCCCCCAGGGAGCCAGCCCTGCACTGCCCCACGGCTCAGAGCACAGGCGCAGGGCCGGGCCCAGGGCTCCCCGGCTTGGACCGTGGTGAGTGGGGGTCACTGGTCCATTGCCCCACCACACGGTGGCCGTTGGGGCCACATTGCAATTTCCTTTGTAATCTCACTGATCTGGTCCGTTAGGCCGCAGCCTGCACTGAGCTGAGATAACAAAGTGCCGGCTCATCGCCTCTGGGCCGCGAGGGAAATGGGGGGGGGACAGTCACTGCTCTCCAGTGACCGGGTCCCTCTGACTCTCCCTGCGCCCCGGTGTTCAGCCTGTGGTCACCCTAAGCCCCGATCCCTTGCAGCGGGCTCTGTCTGAGCCAGCCACTGCCCCTTCTGTGTGTGGGGCACGGCTTATCCCTGCCTCGCGAGGCCCTTTGCATTTCTCTTCCCTCCTATTGCCTCGGGCCACGGCTCCAGCATGGCCAGGTCACTGGCAATTCGGAGCCCGTGTTACCTTCTGTGCTCAGGCCCCTCGGCCCCGCAGCTTCGCCTTGGCCCCCTGCCTTGTGCTGAAGGATTTCCCCCGACACGTGTCTCTGTGCATCCCAGGGCTGGCCCTGCCCCGCCTGCTCCTCTGCCCCCCGGACGTTTCACGGCTCAGACAGACCCCCTGGCTCCAGGCAGTTGCTCAGGGCCTCCCCCATCCCACCCTCCTGGCCCAGCGCCCAGCCCAGCCGGAGAAGACTGGGGCGACCACCTGCCTTTCCCCCGGCCCTGTGGCTTCTCTCTGCCCGGTGGGGGGGCCGCCCAAGAGTCCTTCTCGCCGCTGCCAACCCGGCGCTGGACTGGGCCCCCTGCAGAAAGTCAGTTCCCAGCAGTGACCTCGGCTCGGCCTTGTCCGCTCGGCACCGGCCCCAGGGCCGTCTGGCCGCCGACCGAGGCTGGGTTAGACCCACTGCCCCCGGGGG